TGAGTTTCAGTCTTGATTGGCATTTTCCTAGGGATTTATACAACTTGTGTTTTTATATATAGAGAGAGGATCATGACTAAAGTTTTGCCTTGAACTTCTGAAAAATTCTGGAACTGTTAAGACATTTGGGAAACGATTATTGCCATTTGTGCTTGTATGCAGAATAGTTGCATTACAGTAGGTGGAACTGTTACTGGCTGTTGTGCTTATTTCATAATTAAGGATGGTTTAAGGAGACGTGCCTGGGTGTGAAGTTGACTAGTGATGGATTGTGATTGTTAATTCCAATTTATCAACTCCATTGGATTGAAAGATGACTAGTAGATTAGTAAAGCATGCTCCTGGGTATGTCTGCATAGGTCAGGGAGAAATGACTTCCGGAGCTGTAGACAGCTTTGCCTGTTTCTCTGCTGCACTGTTCCATTGTTCTGCTTTCTGACTGCCATAAACTGAGCAGCTTTGCTTTGCCACACCCTTCTACCATCATGTTTCTGTCCTGGAGCAGGTCAAGCATGGACTGAATCCCTCGAACTGTGAGCCAACTTAAACATTTTCTACTGTAGGTTTTGAATTTCATGTATGGTGTCTAGCAATGGCAAAGCTGACTAATACAATAGTTTTTTACATTACTTGTAATTTTATAGATGTTGGGGCCAATTATTATATGCAGAAAAGATTTTGATGAAGAAGAATTTTTGTAATTACTAGTGCTTGATGTCCTGTGCTAGTTGTGAAGTTACTGCTTCTCCTCTCTAAATTAACACATGCTGGATCCATGAAACGGAATTGAATCTTTTAAATATCTTTCCTTGCTACCAGTATCACCAAGGATTCCTGTTTAGTTTCTAATATCCTTTCAAAATTACTCTGATTTGCTTTTGTTGATGTATTTGTAAAGGTGAGTGCTGTAAATAGACAGATTCCTCGGGTCTTTCATTTTCATGAGTGGTCTATCACTCATGTAATGTCTCCAGAGCTTTTCCACTTAAATTAGATAATAAAAGGGTGCCTCAATAGGGTCTTCCTCTGCAGGAACGTTTGGTCAAAGATTTGAGAATGATATTTGGACAGAAAGATATCTGGAGAGAGCTTGGGCTTCCTATTTCTTCCCGAGGTATAGGCACAGGTGTGCTATCCGTCACGGCTTCACCTGACACCTTGTCAGCCACAGTGCTCCGTTAGAGATTGAGAGAATCAATTTTTGAAGCAGAGATTATACATCTAATAACGCCTTCTTTCATATATGGAGGCAAACTAAAATTATAGTAAAAAATGTAATTATTCAGATAAAAGTAACCTATTTGTGATCTATACTAGAATAAAGAATAATAAGCCTCTTAAAAGGGGAGAAGTTAAGGAATATAACTGGTAGTGAACCCTGACATCATTAAGAGAATAAGTTTAAACTATTATAGTATCTATGTCCATTTGTTGAAGAAAAATTTACTGAGTGACCATGATGTCAATTTTTCCCAGATTAATCCATAAATGTAAATAGTTCCAGTCAAAATACCAGTAGTATTCTTTACTGTTATTTAAATAAACATGCGGGGCTGGGGATTTAGCTCAGCGGCAAAAAGCGCCTGCCTGGGAAGCGGGGGGGGGGGGGGTCGGGTGCCGGGGCCGGGGAAAAAACAAAAACAAAAAAAAAAAAAAAATAAATAAATAAATAAGTAAACATGCAAGCATACCTTTTAAAATTTTAATAATAAAATTTGTGAATGAGAAATATTTCTACAAGTTACCAGAGTTTATCAAGTTGCTACAGTAATTACGGTAACATGGTAGTGGAACAAGAATAAATAATCCATACTGCATGTAAAACTTAGAAATAGCCCAGGTATTGACAAGAATATGAAGAAACACTAAGAATGCTGTAGGGAGAATTGAGACCGACCCAGGCAAGCCAGAAAGTGAAATAATTAGTTTACATCACATACAAAACTTAATTCCAGACAACTGAAGGAAGAGACAACAAAATCCTATAAACATTCTAGAATAAAATTTAGGAAATTATTTTTATATAATTCTGTCAAGAAAAACTTTCATAGACAAATCCCCAAATCAGAAATGACAAGACAAACTACAACACTCTACACAGAGTTACAATTGCTGTAGGGCATCATATGCAGTATATAAAGTTGGCAAAAAAGTACACAAGTAAACATTTGCAACATATATGAAATGTATATATATACTCATCCATATGTAAAATACAAGTAATAGATAAATAGATAGGTAGATAGATAGACAGATAAATACAGAAGTACGATCAATGAAAATCTTGCACAAAATAAATTACTAAATGAATCATAGAAAGAAAACAACGTTTATTAATATATTGAAAGGTTTTCAGTGTCACTAGGGAGATTCAAATTAAAATAAGATGTCATGTGTATCTATCAGTTGACTAAAAATTATCAAAATGCTAATAATATAAGTAAAAATACAATGGAGCAATTGATTTTGGAGCTGAATTTGGCAAGGCCTATTACAGTATTAATTTTACATAACTTTCCGCAGCCTCCATCCAATGCTCAGAGTCCATTTAGCTCAAAAAATATAACGGAAGGTTCTCACACCTTGATATTCATTGCAGCATCAAATGAGCTGCTTTAAAATCAATGATCAGTTGCACAACAAGGGAGAAAATTAAGTAAGTGAGCTGGCTCTTGGGGCATTTTCTCCTCAGATCACTTCCTCTCTCTTTCCTTCACTGCTAGGTACAGTATACTGAGCAGATGTCCTTCCTAGGTTTCCTCTCATGTCCAGTGGGTTTGGCTCAGTTTAGTGGGAAGTACGCATAGGAGCTTGGTGAGCACAAAGAAGGGAGAAGCCTACTACATGTTCTCTTCTCTTTCTGCCTTGGGGATTCCTTCTGACATCAGTTGGATCTCTTTCTTCCTTCTTGGCTTTGTACTTCATCCATAATCTCTGCAGCTGTTTATTTGTATTCAGTTTCCTCTGCATTAAATCTTGAAGTGATTGTGTTTACCTGGTTGCTAAACACACACACACACACTCCTCTGCACAACATATTAAAAAGAAAATAATACAGAGGTAGTGGGTAACCATGTATACTGATGGAAGAATGTCCCTGATAAGTTGTAGATCCTAAGGAGAAGAGTTGCCATGTGATAATACCTTATGATAATGTGGTTCGTTAGAAAAATCAAACCATAAGTATATGTCTAAATGTATTTGCATAATGACAGCAACTGTCCTATGTAGAGTAAAATAGAGTATGAATGAGTGTGTCAAAATACTGATTAAGAGGAGAGGGGATCTCTGTGAAGCTGAAGGAGGGGATCTCTATGTGCCTCTGAGGGAAGATGGTTTCCTTTTCACTTTATTGACAACTATGTTACTTGAGATTCTTTCTCCTCTCATGCATCACATTTGTAATTTTGAATATAATGATAGGGATGGGAATATAGCTCAGAGGTACAGTGCTTGCCGGGCGAGCATGAGGTGGTAAGTTTGATTTCCAGTACCAAAAAAAAAAAAAAAAAAAGGACCAGTTATAAAGCACTGCCCCTAACATAACCTCTTTTGTTAAATGTTAATATCCATACATATTTATCTATAGTGAGAATTTTCTGAAAGAACAGTCAGTTTTAACACTTTGAGATGAAAACGTTTTAACTTGATTAAGTGTATTAGGGAAGAAGTGTGAGCGAGTCATCTTTGCTCATGCTGAGTATTGCAGTGAAATACACCCACTGAACTTTAAGCCCTACCTAAGTGAACTGAAAACATGAATAGCATAGGAATATACAAAGTGTGAGAATCCACACACACAGACACTCCCCCACCACCAGTGTCCTCAGTTCACAGAAGTGTCATGAGCTCTGACATCCATGTATTCACATATGCCGTTACAACTTTGTATCTGAATGAAGATGACACTTCTTCCAACACTCTGTAAGAACTCTGGATCTGCAAATCTTCCAAAGTCTATGTCCACAAACAAGTATCAGACCTTGTTCAATGCAAAGACCATATTTATTGTACTAGTGTGTATTTATGTCTTATCCTCAATGTATGAAAAGCTGCTTCCTTGCTTTATATTATTATTTTATTTTATTATTTAAAGGCTTTGATTGCTTTATTTTCTTGTGTATAATTATGATATTTTTATTGTTGTACCTAATCCTATTTTGTCTGAGGAGAACTGTAGCTTTTATTACACACTTCTATATAGCATGGTGATTTTTATTTATTTTTTTTATTTTAAAGATAAAAGGAGGGAAACATTAACAGACATACAACATTTTACAACATATCACAAGCACAATACAGACAATACAGAGTTACAAACAAAGTGGTAGGGAATTAACAATGGTGGTTGTATTACATATTGATATCTTCAAGGTGGCTTCTCATGAAAACAGATACAGACATGCAATACTGGTCAACCAAAGACTCATTGACAGTTTCTTTCAGCATAGAAATAGAAGACAGAAGAACAACCAAAACTTTATTTATTTATTTATTTATTTAGGTTTTTCTCCGGTATCAGGAACTGAACTCACGCCCTTGAGCGTGCCAGGCAAGCGCTTTTGCCGCTGAGCTAAACCCCCAGCCCGTAGCTTGCTGATTTTTAGGAGCATATATATATATATATATATACACATATATAGCATATTAGCAAAACTGAGTATACTGCTACAAAATGTTAAATGTATCTCTTTGTAATTTTTCTTTACGTTTTGATTATCTATAGTTTCCATTTCTCCTTAACATGACTGTGCATTAATAATATCACAAATTCTATGTAAACGTTTTTCAAAGCTGAGGATTACAGCTGTCTTAGGTGAAAGGCTGAGGCTATTCTGGCAATCCCCAAACATTAGTGATACAGGAAACTAAGAACCCTAACATCTACCTAAAAGGTACAGTCACTTAAGGTCTTCCTGGAAAACAGTGGTCAGGTGACACAGCAACATCTTGGCAGTTTGTTCAGCCAAGGAGTTACCCATAAGTGCCAGGAGCAAAACATGTGGCTCCCCAAGTTTCCATTAAACGATGCGGATTTATGTAGTAAACCAAATGCCTCTGAATCAGTTTGCAAAAATTCAAAAGTTAACATGATTCAGATCCAGAAATGCGTAGACAATAATATAAAGCCTGATGGTCAGTGCTGGCTGACTTTCAACTTGTTATTAAGTAGAGCACCCAATCCTTCACCAAAGAGAATCTGGAAAGGATCCTACAAACACAAACACGTTGCAAATTTCAAAATGATGACAAAAGCTAATTTTTGTCATGTGATCTGACTCTAGAACTTCCACTTGATTTCAGTGAATTTTCACCTAGATTTTTTTCTTTCTTCCTTTTACTTTCCAAGATACCATCATTGTTTTCCTTTTGCTTTCTTCTTTGTTTTGTAGTGATCAGTTGCCTCAGACGCAGTCAAACTGCACTGTCTCTGATTGGGAGGTGAGGCCCTGCCTCTCACGCCTTGCTTCTGGATTGGTGCTTACTGATCTCCGAACTTGTTCTTGATCCTTGCGTCTTCTTGTCTCTCCCTGTGCAGAATCTGCTGTTGGCTGTCCCAGGAGAGAGCCTTGTTTCTGTCCAGTCTTTGATGAAAGCCTTTTCTGTGCTGCACACCTCATCCTCTTTCAACCTCTGGCTTCACTGAATCAGTAAGAACTCTCCAGCTGGAAATCAGACAAGGGCAAAAACAAAGAACCCAGAAGCCCAACAGGACATTTCGGTTTCCAAAGTCTTTTCAAGGATGTTTTATATAGCGAAGCCCAACGCACCTTCATTCCAAACCTAGAAAATGTGCCTGGTTACCCGAAAAAGGTGAGGAACTGTATTGAAAGAGGCTCTCTTTCTCCTTTCCCAAAAAGAAGTAAGTTCAATATGTCCTGGGGGTTTGTTCTCTTTTATTCTTTAAATTATTACACTCTAATAAAAATAATTCAATTTCTTAAAGGCATAAAGCAAACGTAGAGCTTATACCGAAATGAATTTCCATGCAATATAGACATTTTTGTCTATAAATTCCCTCTTTTATATGTCACTGTAGAATATGATAAAATTTGTAAAAGTTTTCCTGGACATGATGGCATAGCAAATTTAGCTGCTGGAAACTCAATGTCAAGTAGTTATACCACTTCAGTAAACTTTGTAACAATTTTGCTTTAAAATATTTAACTTGTCCACCACCTCCGGGAAAGTATTTCCTCTTTAATTTGGTAGAATATTTCTGCAGAATGAAAGATATGCAGCTTGAGGCTGTCCAACTCTGACTTCCTCAGTTTGAACTTGAGCCAAGTTTTCTTTGAAACTCCCAAGTGCTCAGAGGCACTTTTCACTTCTGGTTCCTGGCTAGGATTGGAAGTGGAAATATCCAGAATTAGAACTTGAAAACTGAAGTTCTCCACCCAATCGAAGTTGTTTCTCCAGCACTTACTAGTTCAAGCCAAAAATAGGAAGAAAAATGACATCAGAGAGTGTGGCCTTGGGAGGTTAGAAAAATTCAAAACTCAAAATCAGTTTCCAAATGAGTAAAACCCATATTATTTTCAATATTTGATATTGCTCTTTCTTTTTTATTTTTAAAGACAATGTATGCCACTCATATCTTCATAGATCAGAATTACTGATATTGCAACTTCAAACTTAATCCAATGCTCAATCATTAGTAGTAGAGATGTAAAAATACTCATTTTTACACAAAACTAAATGAAACTTGAGTCAGTGTGACTTGAATGATATTTTAAACAAACATGGAAATTATGTGATTCTCCAAGACTCTAAGGAAGAAAGTTGTTTTTTATGTTTTATTTCCTCATTAGAAATAGTTCTAGGAATTTTAATATAAAATCTAAAATTAAGTGTGTCTGTTAGGAAATTCTTTTAGCGAGTCTAGATTAGTCATAGGTAGGTAATAGAATTCTGATTCCTTATTTTAAATATATTTTCTAGAATTTGGAGCATATCCTTCCTACTTTTATTATTTCCCTGATTCAATGATCATGATTGCATCTGAGGTTATATTTCATTTTTGAGCTGGGTAACAGAAACTGAACACATTGGATATGTATCTAAAATGATTCCATTTATTTACCCAGTAGGTGAGCAATGGTCCTCTCAGAAAAATGTACACCATCTTTTGCTGGCACTACCAATTAGGAAAGGATTAAAGAGAAAATGTGGAAGAATTCCACATGGAGCATAATAGCATCTCTTCTTTGCAATTTCCTTTGCAGGCAACTCCATTTTTCATTTCCTTGATGGAGCTTGAACTTGTTGTCAATGAGATTTGCAACAGGGAGCCTCCAGGTGGCTTGTGTGATGCTTTTACATCACCATCTGCTGGTATTCTGGCCCGACTTCCAAGGTGGTCAACAGTAGTTTAGCACTGATGAATGAAAAACCGAAAATTTTCCAAGTATGAGGGGAAAGAAATCCATTAAAGAGGGAACTCCTCTACTTCTGTATATATTACAAAAATAGTTTAGTTCTTATTTTTGAAATACTGTTATTTTGTTCATCATTTACTTTTTTGCATTTATTTTTGAAAATATCATCATAAACAATATTTAACTACTGAGTTTCTTTGCCCTTTTTAAATTTTGCACCCAAATGATTTCTTCTTTTGTCTTACTGTAGTGCCAGCCCTGTGCAGTCTAGTTATTTATTGAAAATTTTACTTTCTCCCAACTCATTCACATAATAACTCTCTGAGTTGAAGACATGCATCAGGATAGCTCACACAGATCTCTGGCCTATTATCAAGGTCTTCCAGTCTTGCCTCTACTTACTCCACTGGCAAGCAAACATTTTTGCCCCGTGGATCTGGTGGAAACATTTCCCTGGTTCCATACTGCATGGAGGATAAAGTATGAATTTCTTTCCTCATCTGCAGAGGGCTTTGTCTCTCTAGTCTTATGGTTCTTCTCTCTTCTCAAATTCCCCTTTGTCACCTTTATTACATCATACTCTCCTGCTTGGCCTTGTCCTCACACCACAGATTATTTATTCCACCTGGAAAGCTACCCATCTGGCCACCTTAGATCCATCTCTTCAGTTTAAACAGAGGTCACATACGCCAATGAGCTTCATCTGTTTTTCAACCCTATATTAGCCTCCACTGCACTATTTCCTGCATAATTCTTTGCTCACTTTGGACACAGAATGATCACTTGGTAAGATGCTCATGGTGAGATGTTTTCCTCCAACCTTTTGTGCTGGCTTATGTGCAAGTTGAGGGTAACAGGTATACTTACCTAATAGTTTTATTATGCCTAGAAAGGTGTCTGGTGTATGGTAAATATGTCATAATTAGTTATATGCCTAGAAAGTGACACATGCCTAGAAAGGTGTCTGGTGTTTGGTAAATATTTTTTAAAAACACATTCTTTGGCCAGGAATATAGCTGAGCGGCACAAGTGCCTGTCTAGCAAGTGCAAAGTTCCGAGTTTGATTCCTGGCACCAGAAAAACAAAAAAAAACAACAACAACAAAAAAAATCCACACATTCTAAAGGTGTCACATTGATGATAAAGTTGTATAATAAAGGGATTGAATAGTAGTAAATAATAAATGACCTACTTTTCAGAGAGAGGAATGTGATGTATTAGAGGAACACCAAGTGAATTGAAGGTGTCTTCAGCATACCACTGTTTACCAAGGAGGGTGGGGGCAGGGGAAGAGTTCTATAAAAGTCTGCACTTTGAGCTGCTGGGAATGTTCTCCACTGAGCTTCTCACACTTTGCTTCCTCCACTCTTTTAGGAGTCTTGCTTCTAATACGTGTCATTGCTTTGGAATGTTTCTGTGAACCACCCAGTAGGAAACCAAGGTGGAGCTTTTTAAAAGTCAGACAACAATTTAAAGATATCTGAGACTAGATGAAATAGTTTCATATACTTTTATGATATACCAGTACTTTAGATACATTAAAAGTAAACCTTCAAGGGACTGTAAAACTAAATTTTACTTGGAGACAAGTAGCCTATTATGTATATACTAGGAATAGTCATTTTAATAATAATGACTCTAAAAATTCTTGGTAGAGTTGTACACTACAGGCAGAATTAGAGAGAGATAATATCTGCAGTTATTTCCAACTAATTTTCAGATTATTTTAAACATGGATTTGAAATAACAGATAATTTCCCTACTACATGTCTCCCTCAATCATAAATAAGTGAACATGAATGCATTCAGTATACTATTCAGGGACATGTGGTTTTGTTTTTTAAAAACTACCTTGTTACTATAGGTTATTCTGAGAATGTTAATTTTATAGGGAATTGGAAATTCAATGACTAATTAGCTGTAAAATCACTTTATAACTGAGAAGCGCCTGTGAGTGGAAGTGTGAAAGGCATGCACTACCAATGTGGGATGAATTCTTAGAGAATTTAGAGTGCAAAATACAGAGAATGCTTCAGCCTTTTCCTTTTTCAGTTTTGACTTTGGCTGGAAGTGGAATTAGAAATTTTATCATTCTCTTAAAATACCTACAAATAAACCTGTCTTCTCAGTACAATATTTCTCTTCAGTAGTGTCTTAAAAGTACAGAACTTTAGCAACAAAACAAGAGTCAAATACAGAATTTCATTAAAAAAACTTGGGGAGAGAGAGAGAGAGGTAGGGATGTGGGAGAGAGAGAGGTAGAGAGGTGGGGGGGAGTGGGGGGGGAGAATAAAAGATATAAAGAAACAGAGAAGGAAAGAAAAGAACCAAACAAAACAACTCAGTTCTTCAGGGAAAAAACAAGAAGTTCTTTTCTGTCACCCACTACCCCTAACACTCCTTAAGCTCACACACACTGTTAATTCTGGTATCCTTTAAAAGAAAGGTAAAAGGTTGTGAACTTGCAATTGAAGATTATTTTTCTATAGCTGTATTTCGAATGAGAACAGTAAAGCATTTATTTGTACTTTTTTGTAGGAGTAAAGAGCAAATTGAAATTAAAAAGTGTGGATAGGTTTTTTTTGTCTTACAGAGGATTTCATTCTTCCTTATCCTTTTACTTGAAAGATTCTAGCAAAACAAATGATTTGAAAATGAAATTTAGAAAAAAAAATTTTAATTTGCTTTCAAAAGGTGCAGATACAAACTAAAAAGGAGAACTAATTGTCAGGACCTACTCCCTTTCCACAAAAAAGTTAAAGTAGAACTTGACAGCAACTCTTTTTTTTGTCCCTCAAGCAGAACAGCAACTCTTAGAACATTTCCGTCGAAGCCACGGTATCACGGAGAATCCCCACGCAAATCATTAACAGCTCATGGTTACATTAACACCGCACTGATCTTGTTGTCTCTGCGGGACTAATTTCATTTTCTACACTAGCAATAGAGACTTGCCACAGCCTATGCGATTGCAAAAGCAAAAGTACAATACCATTTGTTAATTCATTTGTGAAGAGCTGTTCTTTGGCTAATAATTCTAAATAAGCATGTGGCTTTGCACAAAGAAGTAGAAATCAAAGTGAGCATGTTTTTCCACTTTTCCATTCATGTAATGGAAATGTTTTATGCAGACTTTGAGCAAAAGCAATGATTGTTTGAGGATCTCAATTTCATGATTACACAAATGTTGAAGTATCTTAAAGATTAAAGTTTATTTATTACAAAAAGACTCAGGCTATATCTTTGAAATCTGTAGGTAAGGGAAGTATTTATGGTGGAAAAGATTATACTTCACTTACAAGACTGTCCGACAGACCAGTTATGGTCTGTAGCAAAAGTCCATCTGTCCTAAGAACCGGATTCTGGGCAATGCTACATCTGCTCTGGCCTTTTGGAACCCAGTAGGTAGTCTGTGTTGTGAGAGTACAGTCTTGAACTTATAAACAGATTATTTCCATTTATCATGGTTAAATACAATGTATCATGCTAATAATTGGCTTTCCTGTCAAATTGCTTGCATATATGGCTATAAACTAAATTTGATTTAACAAAATAGATAACAAATCTACTTAAAGAAAAAAACCTCCTAAAACTTGCAAAATATCTTGCTACTGACTTAAATGTTAACGAGTGAAAAATAATCACATTTTTTTTTCCTGCTTGTTTAAACAGAACTCAATTTCCAATCCTTCATTAGAAAACTGGGACCTCAATTTGTTACTTCCTTCCAGTGTTTCTGCCTCCATAAATTGCATCCTCCCTAGAGAAATTTTATTCCTGATATAAATATCTACAGTATGTTTGTTTTTAATGGGTTCATTTATTCTGTTGAAACAGCAGATTATAAATCAACTTCCAATAGGTCGGAGGGATAATTTAAGTATGTAAATTCTCAAATAAGTAGGGGACACTCCACGTTTAATACATATGGGTCACTGCCAATTTTTACTATGGAGTCAGCACTGCAGAATTCAATCATACGTATGCACACTTTTATTGGCCTTGCCTGCGATGGAATTTTCATTCCTCACCAAAACATTTTGGTTCATTGAAAAAAAAAGGAGGAAATTAAACTTCTTTAAGAGGTTTTATTTCTTAAAATGGGGCTGGAAACTAAAGAAAACTTGTGTACTGGGTTTTTATGCTAAGCTTTAGCATCAGAGACTATACTACCTTTGGCAATAACAGTCTCAGACAAATGAATGCATATTATTTTGGGTGATAACCTTAAGAGGCAGTTATTCATTGTTCAAAATAAGAGAAAAGTGGATTTGTGAAGTGCTAAGAATAATACATTATGATTATGATTGTTATCGGCAGTTCTGGGGATTGAACCTGGGGTGTTCACTTTGAGCTGCATTTCCCCAGATTGTTTTCTACTTATTACTTTGAGACAGGGTCTCACTAATTTGCTAACTTGCACAGGTTGTACTTCAACTAGTGATCCTCTTGTCTTAGCCTCCAGGACTGTTGGTATTACAGGTCTGTGCCACCTGGCCCTATTCAATACTATCATTCAATACTATTCAATATTATTATTAACATTAAATGATTCATTTACTGAGAAAATAATTTTATAATACTCCATGTAAGGAAAATATATATTTAAAAACTGTTCATCTATCAGTTACATTTACTACCGCTTCATTTCCTCTTAAATTACACTTTAGAAGACTAATAATTGGACTTTATCTTAGCTAAAAATTGTAAGAGGATGTTCTGAGACTAATATTTTCTAATGAATGCAAGTTTCATTGCTCTTATGCTTATAAAATAGAGTAACACATTTTCCTGTAAAGGATGTAACAAATTTGTTTCTTCCCCAAATCTACCTCTTTGTGCTTCTAAAAATGCATGATTTTATAATGGATATAAAAGGAAATTAAGTGATTTTCTGATAAATGCAATGAGATTTCACAGTGAGAAGTAGTAGTGCAGATCTTACCTGTTTGCAGATAAATTGTATCATGTGTCTCACCGCTGAGCAGAAATCAATATTCCACTAGATGGAGCAATAGTGGTAAAAGCTTACGCATGGGTAAGTTCCTGGGAGAGTTTTAAGAGATTTGAAATAAGTACATAATAAATCTCCTCAGAAAAATTGCATATGTATTCCAATATATTTACTGTATGGAACTTCCTGAAGTTCTAAAGGATAGTTTTAATTGATCTCATTTTAAATACTGATTTATTGACTGACATAAAATAAGATTACTAGAAATAAAGCTATGTAATGTTTTCTCAGCGCTTTGAGCATTTGGGCAATTAAGACAGCACACACAGCTATGACAATTCTTAAATAGTATAAATTGGCAGATATCTGGAAGTCTGGGTGCATAGTTTTTATATTTAAAATTACTTTAAAATTTGAACAGTTTGACTAACAGTAGTGCATTAAATTTCTTAACGACATGAGAGATTTGGGGAGCCAGGTAATATTAGGATCCATTCTGCTTAATACTTTTGTATCCTAAATTAAACCCTGAGGCTGGATGACATGCTCACTGTCACATTTCCACTCTTGGCCAAGAGTTCATCCAGGGTGAGAAGAACTGGAAAATAAATGAATTTGCAATTTTCAATCCCCAAAGAATGTTTATTCTCTAATATGATCTATTCATCATTTTAAATAATTATTGTTACTTATTTTTAATTATTTTTGACTATATAACAACTTTAATTTTTAAAATATACAGGGTCAGTACTACGCTTAATACCTTGACACTTTTGCTAGATTACTGTAGTAATTGAATTTTGACAGAACAGCTTTCTAGTGATGAGAGAAAATGTTATAGAAAATAAATAAAAATTATCGTACAAACTACAGCAATAAGCTACCTTTCATTTGCCAGTAATATCCTTCTGACCTAAGGAAAACACTATTCGGAGAAGGTCACGAAGCAAATAGATCAATGGAAAGAAAGTCTGTTCAAACCTAGGTTGTTGGTCAGAAGAGTCAAATATCTCTTTACATTTGGATCATGTTTTTGGCCTCAGAAACAAAGTTAATGGATGAAAGGAATCTATATTTATACGAAGACATTATGTTGCTCAATATTCCAACTCCAAGTGATAAAGTAAGTTCACTGCACATATCCTATATATAGATATTTTAATTTCTTCTGCCCATAAGAAGGGGTTGAGGGACTTGAAGTGTGAATTCCAGAGCACAGAGTCATATACAGGTTTTGGGGGTCAAAAAGAGGGTAGGGGACTTGTGAAGAGGATGAAGAAGGAGTTAGGTTTATGAGTCAAGGTCTGGTGGGAACATTTTTGAAAATGTAGGTGCTGTTTCCTGCAATCAAGGGCTTTCCAGAGCTTGATAATCATTTCCCAGCTGTATTACATGGGTGAATGGTTTTTAGTTGTGGGTACTGCATGGTTTTTCTTGCAACTGTGTAATGGCAGAGGATCATCTTCACCTCGCTGATAGAAAGTGAGGAATACAACTCCCACAGCTTCTCCCCTCTTTTCCTTTGTCTTGAAGAAAACTTGGCTTTGTGCTAAAGTGTGAAAAAAAAGGAGGGTTTGACTGTAGTAGGGCAGGCTTATTTCAGCTCAGTTGGTGTCAACCTTAATAAGTCAGTTGACAGAGTAATAAATTGGGTGTCTGCTCAGGATCTGGCACCTGTACAGGAAATAAAAAGTATTTCAATTGCAGGCAGGTTCCTCTTTGTTTTAGAAATGGAAGTTTTTCAAGACCCTCTTTATTTTATTGAGATCCTGGTATCTTAAAGCCTATTTCAATAGTCATTGGAACTTACAAGGAAGACAGAAGATTTTAAAAAAAATATTGTAGTGATGGAACCATTGTGAACTAGGTGACAATGTTTGCTTTGCTCAAAATTGTGCCTTCGTGCTGTGCCTGAAACTTAGCAGACACCCAACAGGAATTTGTTGAATGAATAACCCAATCCATGGATGGATTTGCTTTGCCCTCATGGGATAAAATTTATTTAAGCATCTGTAGATTAAACTTCTTGTTTAATCTTACACATTTTAACATTATATTTTGGACCAGTTGATTTTAGGCAGTGGTTACCAGCTGGGTACCATTTTGCTCGTTTTGAAGCAGTTGGTAGTGTCCTGGGACATGTCTGTGTCACAGATGGCATGGAAGCAGTACTACAGGGTCTAGCAGACAGAGAATAGGGTTGTTGCTATGCATTCTATCATGTACTATACAGTCCCTCAGAACAAAGAAGAATCTGGCCAAAAGGACAATTATTTCAAGGTTGCATTCTCTGTTTTTAGAGAAATTACTACATTTCATGATATAAAATTGATATTATTTACCATTTTTCACTTATATCACTAGTGATATTATTCATTAAAGTTTTTAAAACATGAATTTTATATGGGAAATAATCAACTAATAAACAGTAGAGAATAATTTGAAGATTTCCTAGTTTGCACAGGATGGTCTCCTAAAACAGAGTAATCTTGTCCAAATGTTCCTAGTGGAACATTAACACTCTTGAGATGCCCTAGTACAAACATGTAAATTAAGAGCCAAACTAACATTCTTTAAGATAAAATTTTCACTGAGTTGTTACTTTGACAAATACCTTTGATGAAAACTTGAAGAGCAGGTTTTGTACTTCCAGTGCTTTGGTTTCTCAGGGCTCCCAAGCACTGTGGGGGCCTTAGCTCATGGCCTGTCCCTTCCCAAGGGAGACGTCGCATACATTTCTGGGTATCACAGACTGCTGGTCTCAGCAGACTGCTAGCCACCTGATCAGGTCTCCTATGACACACCTGCAGAGGTCTGCGCTCTGGGGGACTGGATCAGGAAAAGGCCCACAGAAGACTGAAAAGCAAGCTCCAGCCTACTTTCACAGAGCCTCTGGTCAACTCACAGTAAGACTTAGGTTGGAACTGTGGCAGGAATATTTTGGGTTAAGGACTTTCATTCAAGGGCAAGTCTGATTCATTGCAAAGTGAGTTTTAAGAGATGTGATGTACAGCCCTGCTAGAAACTGATAGCAGTTGGCAGTTTTTAAATTATATATTTTGATGCTATCCTGAAATAGCATAATATTTAATTTTTTATTTGAAACAGTAATAAAGCATTCAAGGTCATTTAAAAGTTTTTAACTCTTAATTAAAGTCAAATCATAATTGAATACAAGGATACTTTGATAAATTAATCAAAGTACGCAGTAGCATGCTAATTCATAGAAACTGACTTCATAAAAGGAAATACTTTAAAATGGTTAATTTCAATAATATGGTAGCCTGAGCTACCAGTTGAAGTTTTATTTAAAATTGCAATATATAAGAATTTTTGTCAGAAATTTGAATACCAAATTCAGTGGTGATTATAACTAAATCTTAATTACTGTAAGTAGAATGACCACTTATTTTATGTTTCAATAATAAATATAGAAGGAAAAATAAACTAACCCAAATTTATAAGAAGGATAAAACAAATGGCTATTTTGAATCTTATTTTGTGTTTCATCATAGAAAATATTAAGTACAAGTATTATATAAAATTAAGTATACTATATGTTTTTGAAAGTTATCAAAGTAAACACTTTGAAAATCTTGATAGAAAAGTTTACAACATATTCTCGAATCTAGTGTCTTAGTTACCTTTTCCTTGATTGGAAAAAATGAACAACATACACAAGTTAAGGGAAGAAAGTTTTCTTTCTGCTCACAATTTGTAGAATTTTCATTCCATAAATGGGTGGTTGCAAGGCAAGGGAGAATGGCAGAAGGGTATCACAGAGGAGAAATAGTCCATGGTATGGCAGGGAGGAAACTGAGCAGTGAGCTTTCCTTTCCCTTCTTATTCTATTCAGGCTATAAGCTCATTGGTTGGTGACACCCAGACCCATGTGGGCCTTCCCATTATCTATATCCAGAACTGTGCTAAACCAGTTGGTGGATTAATCCATTAATCATACCCATAATCCAGTATCATATCCTCATGATCTAGGCACCATCCAAAAACCCCACCTATGAACACATGAGGCTTTAGGGAGTCATTGATATATAAGCCATAACACTAGGCTTTAAAAACAGCTTTAATGAGATGTATATACCTTATTTCAAGGAGAAAATTGTTTTCATAATATTTTTGAATTCTAGTTCATAAGAAATATTGAAATGGTGTGGGAATTCAATACATAATTTTAAGTAAAATATCTAAAAGACACTCTACATATGTGAAAGAGAGAAGAACAAAGAATGATGGGAGAGAAAAGGGAGGATAGAATTAAAAAGACTCAATTTTAAGGTGAAGGTAAATTTTGTGGGATTAAAGTATTTGAAGGCAGAAGGCAACTTACATTCACCTTAAAATAACATTATATATATTTTTCTGCTTTTTGTACTTCCTTTAGAAAGTGTCTTTTTTTATGCTCTTCATTAAACTTTAGAAATGACAATCACACAAAAACAATTGTAATTTTCTTATATTCATTTTGCATGTGTTTCATGAAAAGTATTTGAAGAGACATAAAAAAAGCTGTTCTTCTAAATTCTAGGAAACACTGAAAACAATTGGGCTCCTCAGTGCGTATAAAACGAAAGGAAATATCATGAGAATCACCTTTATACTACATATACTAAGCTTTAAAGGGAACCCTAGAGCAGGAAGAAACAAAGTGGAATGGTGAAGGAGTCTCATTTTTACACATGAACATACTAATTTTAAGTGTTATCAAAAATGTTTTACAATGATGTTATATGTAAAATAGAGTATCCAAATTGCTTGTGAATTTTATTTTCCAGTCTGTTTTTCAGGAGAAGTGACCAGCTATGTTTATAACTGGAAGAACTACAGTCTCTTCAGTTTGCCTTGGGATTTGCCATGAACTTGGTATTTAAACTTCTTAAGGGAGTTAAATGCTGCTACTACTGGTTCCATCTACATAGCTCCTGGTAGGTTTGAAATAAGATTTTTTAAATTTATGCTGAAAGTTGTTTGGTACATAGTAAGTGTTCAGTGAATATTTATTTAATGAATAATTCAATGAATAAAATAGTACATTTTGTGTAGTATTTTATTTCAAGTATTTGGCTAGTAATGAACATTTCCTTTGAAATTTAAGTGGAGATAACCTGAGGTCATTTTAAAAAATAAATAGGAAATTTTCGCAGTATATTTTTCTCGAATTCTTAAGCTTTACGAGGTAATATCTGCTGCTGTTATTATGACACGCCTTGTAGAGATTTCAGACAACATCGCAGTTATTAGAGCTCATTTAGAAGAGTTCTGTAACAGCATGGACTTCTAGGTAACGTGTGCTGTCATAGTAAGCTTGATTCAACCTCTGGCAGTTCTTCCATACTGCAAATGAAAATTCAATCAGCTAGGTTCTGACCGCAAGAAGCTTCAGTGCCGCTGGAGTTCTGCAGAATTCCTTACAATGGTAAACCCTCTCCCTGCACTGGTTCGGTGAATTTGGTGTTTGAGATTCATAGCTGCACCTTCCAAAGAAATGTTTTGTTATGTTGAGGGAAATGGAAAAGTGAGAAATGGAAACCGGCCCGAGTCTGAACTTAGAAGGGATAAGTGGGGGTTAAGAATAATTGTGGTGCTAAGGTGAGCAAGTAGTCTCTGAGGAGGAATAAGGCATGCCAAAGCAGTTCTGAAAGGAAGTGCAGGAGAGGACTAATTGTGAAAAAGTCTTGGAGAGCAGCGTTCAGGATTTCAGTGGGAGGTTGGGTTGAGTGGGTGGGGAGGAAGGAAGGAAGAGGAAGAATCCTGGAATAATAATACAGCATAGACGGGAGATGGAAAGAAGAGACCTGAGGTAGGGTGAATAACCGAGTTACGTGTGTAGGAGTCCCTGTGACTAAACATCCTTCCCAAGACGAGATGAGGGAAACGGGCGGAGCCCAGCCCTGTGTTCTGAGTAAGGCTGCTAAACCTTAAATAAAACATTGCTTTGTTACGCACTTCAAACATGTACTTCGTGAAACTGAAAGTAGTGCTAATTTACTGAAACAATTTTAAAATAAATACATAAGCTGAAAACATTTATTTTCATGGGATAACATTTGTCTTTGAAAAGAGTAGGTTGGCTTCTGACATCATTTCTGTGTACATAAATGTAAGACAATACTCCCAAATCAAACACAATTAAGAATAATAGTCTAGGTAGTAAACTATTTGTATTTTATTGCAAAGCAGTAGTTTTCTCCATAAGATAAGCATATTTTGATATTCTGTGCAACAAATGGGTGCTAGAGAACGATTTTACATTGTATTATTTAATTTTAGGGAACTTTTATAGTAAATGCTGTGCAAGGATGTGTTTGTTTGGGGAACCTGTGAATTTACTTAATCTTTGAATGCCCGTTATAACAGGAAAAAAAGAGCGATAAAATATTCTCAAATATAAAACTTCTAAAAAATATGTTGGTTGTTAGTGATTTTAGGAAAGAACAATAAAATAAAATAACATTAAAAGTATAGAATCAAGGCTATTTCAAATATGCTTCCCATTAGAAAATTTTGAAATGAATCCAGTGCAGGAGGCAGGCATTTAAAAAAATTGAAAACCTTCTGGAAAAACATTCACAACCTTCAGGCTATGGAGCCTAATCATAAGTTCAAAGACTTATGACTTATAATGGAAAACCAGTTAGCAAAACTAAGTTGTGTAGTTAAATGTGTCAACTTTCAGTAGGACAGTTTGATTTTATATTTTTGTATACAAATAATAATGAAAAATATTGAAAAATTTTTTTGAATCTAGAAATACACAAGTATAGAAAAATCTTATATCAAATTTCATGAGCTTCTGGGATTACTGAACCCAAACTCAATAATCGGTCAAATTTATTTAACTGCAAAAAAGTGTCAATAGTTCTCAAATCTAAATATTACCTAAAATATGGGAAGAAAAGAAAACAATTAAAAGTATGACTTTTCTTTCACTGCTCTCAATAAAATGCTATGATAAAAATGTATTCCACATTTGAAAACATGTTAAAGGTTATAAATTTTAAAGAAATAATATATTCAGTACGTGACATTCTTTTATTGACGCTATGTTTCAGTTACCTAAATCATTGCTAGTTTTTTGTTGTTTATATTGTCATCTGTTTTTCCTGGCAGACAGGCAGTGTCTTCTTACAGCTAGGTGACAGTTTGTTATTGTTTGGAAATAATTTATTCCCCCAAAATTGAATTTGATCTCTATTTGTGTGTGAATAAGCAGAGAGATATTTTAAATAATGTGTTCTTTATATTTTATTACTTTTCTTCTGTAATGAAAAATTGCCAACTTTTGACATCTTACATAAAAAACACAATAGTTGCTATAATTTACCTTGATGACTTCAGATAAACATAATATGATAAAATTAAGTCTTAAAAGTAGCTTCTTGTGTTCTCTTTTATATAATTATGCATTACTTTTCTTTGTATTACTTTTACTAAGTGTTTAATAAACATGAATGCAAACAAGTAAAGACTTTTTGTGAGAACAATTAGAAGATGAATAATTACTTCTGGGGAGACAAAAGAATGAGGCTTCTAGGATTTGATTATATCTTGCCTTGGACGGTAGTTACATAGTGTATATATTTGGAAAAATTTGTTGAGCTAGTTGTACTGTAAAATTTATGTACCTTGTGCATATGCCTTTTAATCAAATGTTAGATTAATAAATTGGAATTGGTGTTGCACGCCTGTAATCCCAGCACTCTAGGAGGTTGAGGCAAGAAGATAACATGTTGGATCACAGCCTGGATAGTTCAGCAATCTAGGGAGATTCTGTCTCAAAGACAGGCTTGCATGGGAGTTGCTGAAGCCGCTGAGTGTACAGCCCATGAGGTGTATCCCCACTAATGGGGGAAGAAAAACAAAGATAAATAATACCTGCAATGTGAATTATGTGTGATTAAAATCAGACTGATAAATACACAACCAAATTTAGAATTAAGAATGGCGAAGTCATGATTGTGAGTGTAAGCTTAAAGAGGTGACTTTGTACAATTTGTGTCTGGTGATTTTACATGGCAGAGGACGGGTGGATTATAAGCATACCAGTTATGAGTTTATCACCTCTCTTCTCCAAATCTATCTTCACTGTCCTTGCAAGTGTTACATTTCTCCTATGCCAGCTGACTCCATGTTAGGCTTTGCCAGTTTAAGGTTTGGAGAGAAACTGTGAAGCCGGAACATGAGAGAGGTACTTTGCTTCCATTTTCCAAAGTACAGTCTCTTGTCTGGCACTCAGCACACTCGTAGGTAAAGGATCTGGTACATTTACGTCACGACACAGGCACAGGTGACAATTTCTGGCAGGAGGATTCCATCTAGGGGAGCATACTGAGGGACTATTTGCAGCCTCCACCCTCTTGATTCTTTTATTCTGAGGCACTGATGACACATTCAGGCAATAAAGCGATTCAGTTCATTCCTGCCTTAGTTACCTTCTCGTTGGTGGAACAAAATACTCCATAGGCACAAGTTAGAGGAGAAAAGGTTCATTTTAGCTCACAGTTTGGAGATGTTTCAGTCTGTACTGAGCTGGCTCCAACTCAGGGGGCATGGCAGAGGAAAAATAGTTCATGGTATGGCAGACAGAAGGCAGAAAGCAGCAGCGAGCTTCCTTTCCTATTTATTCCATTTAGTCTAACCTGGATCTGTGTCACTCACACTCAAGGTAAACTTCTGTCTTCAGTAAATCCATCCAGCCACACCAGGAACTATGCTAAGGCAATCAGTGGACTAATTCAGTCATCACACCTTTAATCCAGTATCACACACCTATGATCCTTCCACCTCCCCAAACCTCACCTATGAACACAGATATAACCCATTATAAATTTCAAAATAAGGGTTTTCATCTGTAAAATATCAATATTATGCAACCTATCATATTGTCTCCACTGGTTTTACCTGACAAGTAAATTGCTGACTTCATTTTCCATTTATCTCTGGATCTAATAAAAGAAGTGATAGAAAAAAAAAAAAAAAAAAAAAAAAAAAGAAGTGATAGATATTTTTGTGTAAATAGTCACAGCATTTACTTCTACAACTTTATTGTTGCATGTTTAAATGAACCTGTGTATATGACTTCTTTGATTTTACATTGCACTTTCCTTTTTAATTTACAGAGCTAAATTTAGATCATCCTTATTTCCACCATGGTTTAAAGAAAGAAAAGAAACACAGATATTGATTAGAAATTATTTTAGCTTGTGATGGTGCCCAGATTGTGGTTAAAAGTGAAGAATATGTTTGTGTTTCATGTATGCTTTTGTTTCTTTTTTTTAAAGACACATATCTAAGTTGTTTTGTGATGATAGATCCTTGTGTCTCATACTTCAGTAGAAGTTTCGTGATGGTTGTGTTGTGACTGTATCCTTGACAGTGAAGTCCCCTGTTTACCCAAGTTAGTGTCCTTTTCCTTGGCCTACTGTCTTGATTGCTGACCTCATAGTCATCAGAGAAGGTATCTTCAGAATCCCTGACAGCATTACATCCTACTAAAACACAAGACCCTACCATTAACACATTTATTCTGAGTTCATTTCAGTTGCCCATTCCATACATAATCTTAAGTGTTCACCTATAAGATCACTTAAAATATGTATGCACTGAAATATCCTTTTTGCTTCCCCTTTTGCAGCCCTATTTGTGGAAGTCTTTCTCTTTGAAACAATTTATTCTTACCATTGGCAGCTGGAGTCACCCTTAGAAATCACAGCTTAAATTTCTTTTCTTTCTCTGAGATGCCATACATACATAATATATAAAAATGCATTTGAAAGAAAGATTATGGCTATCATCAAGTAATGGCAAGTATAGGTGCATTGTATCATTAACCAAAGTTAACCATATATTTGATAATAAGCAATATGTGTCAGGAATATCCATCAGCCTATTTTTGAACATTGATACTTAAACAGAGAA